TTCTTTCAATTGAAATGAGCCTAGCTAAAGCCAGTTTGAAAGTCGCTAAATGTCGCTAGATTACGTCATACGCTAATTAGCATATTCATGACGCCATCGAGTCATATTGCCTTTTTACATTTGTTTGCCTCTGCTCACATACTGTATTTTAATTTAGCCAAATTCTCAAAACAGTTTTCATTTATATAATTTACTGTTTCTGATGTCAGTCAACGGGATAAATGAAATATTTACTGAAATGTGGCCCTTTAAGACTACATAACCAGCTCCCTTCCAAAATGTTAATCTGCACAAAAATACTTATAGTCGAGCCGTCATCCGATGAAATCAAATACACATAAGCAAAGACAACTCCTGTGCCGTGTTTTCAGCTATATTTGCATGCAAAATTAGAGCAACGTCATACCCAGCAAACACAGAACGTTCCCCTAACGTTAGTTTTTGGTTCGCGTTTGGTTATTTTTTTGGGAACCAAATACTAACGTTAGGGGAACGTTCTTTTTAGGTTATATTTTTTTGGAACCATAAAATAACGTTCCCAGAACGTTGCAGGGTGGTTATTTTTAAATAACTTCTACAAAACGTTCCCTTATGGTTATTCTCAGGTTATTTTTATAACCCTGTAAAACTCTAATGAAATTGTCGCAGATGTTATGTGTAGTGACCTATACAGAACCCTGAAATTCGTTTAATGCAGCATTTATTAAAATACAGAAATGAGATCAATCAAAAAGCGATTTAAACTATAATATTAAGCCAGGGTTAAGCGTAGAGTGGTAACAAATCATAAATTCGTGGGTTTGTTTCATCTTAATTTACTGCGCGACTCTGATCTGCATGCACTTTCACCTGTCTTCTACAGAGAGCCACGCGCTCGCAGAATTAAATTAACTGTCATTTTTCGTTTTACTGACTGGTTTATCGAGCTCTTTATTGAATGATTACTTAAAATGAATATATATAAAAATAAAGGGGGGGGGACCACTTTTCCTCAGTCATATACATATTTCTAGATCGTTTTACGCCACTTTTTGCTAGTTACACAGATTAGATTAAGCATTGTAGCAAACTATAAATCAGCTTTGGCAATTTTCGTAGGAACACTAGTTTAACAGCATTTTCCAAATCATAATCTGAAAAGAGCAAGTTCGATGGTTTCAAAGTCTCATTTAATAGTAATAAAAAATAAAAAGCAAACTTACAAAGTACATAAAAGAGAGCTATAGATTTACACGATCATCACCAGCATCACCAGGGGGGGAATTTTACACATTAAACAGTACTCGTACAAACGCAGAAGCTCATCCACAGGCCACGGTCACAGGTCACCAGATTCCACTCTGTAAGGGAAGAATAAGTGTCATTACTCGTGTCGCATTTTATTCCTTTTAAAACTTAATTTCAACAGCACTTCTCAGATTCTGCCATGTCAGGAGCAGAACTGCACTGTGTCTTCACAGGAGTTCAGAGCCCAGTGCTAAAACATCACAGAAGCATTTTACAAACCATAGTGTATTTTAAAGCGATTCAGCTGCATCTCACCTCAAAGCAGCAGTTAAGCATCTTGGTACTTGGTCTTCTGCATAGGAAAAAAAAAGCAGATGTCCACAGGTAAGGCTAACATAGGGCTGGACAATAATTCAATATCAATATGTATCGCAATATAAATTTTATTCAATAATGGTGATATGATTTAAACATTTCTGATATTTCAATATACATTAACGTTACCAGTGTTTCCCATACATTGATTTATTTGTGGCGTTTGACTTCGTTGAATAAACATGGGCACTGCACGTTTCAAAATCAAAACGCGGCGCGGGTGTTTTATATGAATGTATCTCTGAAGGGAACCGACGGTCTTCAATAAAAGTTTCGATGGCATTTTCACTTTTATCTGATAAAAGTAGCATTCATGAGCGGAGCTGATTTGATTACGGCCACTAGGCCTACTGGGGAAACCGCTAGTTTTATCCATAGACCGTATAAAAACATGGACGTAGTGTCCGTGACGTAACCCGTAGACTTCCGACAAGCGTTTTGAAGCCTAAAGTAGGCGGAGCCAGCCATCGCCATCTTGGCAGCACATCACTCCCGGATAATCGAAAATGGGCAAAGAGGCGGGAGCTGGTTGCTGAAACCACGCCCACCTAGCTCGACGGTGGTGACAGCAGCGGCAATCCACCTGTCACTCAAGTGGCCACGCCCTTAATTATGCAGAACTTTAAGGCTTAATATAATTTAAAC